AAGCTCAGACAGGCATTGTATGGTAATATTGTTAAATTTTTTAGGCTGAACCACAATGCTGTTATATCTAAGGAGTGTGAATAATGTATTTCTTCACACATGAAAGAGCTTCACAGGGATGAGCTCAGCTAAATGAAGGTAGGAGCAAACATCTTAATTTTCAGCCAACAGTAGCTTCTCTTGTACAGCATTCTGCTGTTGACTGAATCCCAGTAACCTTACATTCTCAAACTACGAGGGAAATTTCAATGTGCTCATATGTTTTTTACTACGTTTGCATTCTTCTGAACATCAACGTGGAAGTTTCAAGGGTTTCCATTGCTCCGACAGAGCAGTAGCATACACTCTAACTTCACAGAGTGAAAATGTTTGCCTTCGTGTTAGCTATCAAGTCAGAAGTCAATGCAGGCTTTCAAGCAAAATGTGCTGGAACCATTAGCCATTTAAAAAGAACAAAATTACCTACATTCATTAATTAAAAAGACTGCAAGAAATACCTTGAAGTCTAATCTCAGATTTTCAGCTGAAAGAAATAATCACTTCTTTTTCAAGAATTGCAAGGATTAAAATATGATATCAATTCCTAGACCAGTACAACCAGATGTCTCCTTACAGCCTCTTCTACATGTGGTGGTACGTGTTTTGTTTGCTCCTTGTAGAGCCAAACTTCTTTTTTAGAGTTACACTCCTTGTTTTAGCATCATGTTTTGCCCTGCAAAAGTGGTAGTTAGCAAGTAATCCTGGTATTCCAGGCACTTAAGTCCCCCTGCCTCACATGAATGCTCACATCTTTAGGCTGAGCGTCAACTGGAGGCGGAAAGTGTGTTGCAGTATCTTAATACTGTCCCAAATACTTCACCAGTAAGTCATCAGGGTGGTCTTATGCATGTGGCTGATGTGGGGCTGAGGTACTAAACTAAAGCTCTATCACAATCTCAGAAATACTGTTTAAAAGGGGATTGAGAAGCAACTTCTCTGCCAGCTGTGTTTGAAAAGGAAAGGAGCAGACCTTTTCCTGCTTTAGTAACACATTTGAAAGGCATCTTTTCCAAGGACCCCTAACTCTATGATCCCCATTTACATATGCATTTGACATAGGTATCTTTCTACCCATATTGCTGAATGCTAAGAGGGCCCACTGTCTCTTCACAGTCTTGTTAAGAGGCTCCTCACTCAGCACAGTGGCTGCCACAACTTTATTTAGAGGTTCCTAATTCCCCTTGTATGAAGTGTATCTCCAAGCATCTGATTCTGCCCTGTGAGCCAGGCATCTGAAAATGAAGCACTGCAACACCTAAGTCACTTTTGAAATTCAAGCCTTCAAGCCTCTCAACCAGCTAAAGTTGCAGATCACATGTACAGGGTTTTTTATTAAATCCACACAAAAATCTGCAGTGCTACAGTTGGAAATCTAATGGCTTTTCTTCAAATAGTCCTGGAAACACAAAGAGGAGCTCTGGCTTTGTGCTATCAACGACCATTATTTACTGGTGAACAGTGGCAAATTATTTGCACAGTAAAGAACATGTAATTACAAATAGTAACTGATTATTATGATTCTTTCAATCCCCTACAGTGAAGAGTAGATGGTAATTAATTTTTGGACCTCCCAGACTAAATAAATTACTAAAAACCAGGCATATGCTACAGAGTTAGATGTTACTGTATTTATTTATTACCCAACATTATATCCATAATTAAATGCTACAAGTAAAACAGAAAAAACATTTTTAAAAAACTTCTAAAAAGCCATAGATTAAAAACATGGCTAAAAAGTTATGAATTTTAGCATTTATACAGTATTATTAATTGCACATTCTCTGTTATATTTATTTGAACTTTAACTTCAGTAACTGCCAGGGATTCAAAAACCTCCTTCACATGATGTACTGCCTGTGCATTTATGTGGTATTCAATGCCACAGATTAATTTAATACTACACTAATTTTGTATTGATTAGAATCTTGGGACACATGACTAATTCCATAGTCTCATTTTGGGGTCTACTGCTTTGAAGAATTTGTGTTCCTTCCAACATGCACTGCTTGTGAATTAGTTCATCATATGAAACATCTCATCTTCCAGAATAAGGTTTTTGGAAGGGGATAGGTGGAAAGGTTGCAGCTCAGCCTTTATTTTTACTCTCACAGTCAAACTCAAATTATACCTGTATATAAAAATACCTCTGAGCTATGTGGAACTCTGTCTTCATGCTCCGGCTATGCAAACCCACCAAGACTAGGCTTTCTGCAATGCATCAGTCAATGTCTTTGTTCTGCTTCTAAAGACGGAAGGGCATCTACAAGAACTGTTAGAGCAGTTTTCAGCAGATACAACTTTACTCATTGCCAATAAGGAATGGAGCAGGCAAGGATACATATAGTTTGTGTACCTGCCACCAGCTTTCCTCACCACGTGTCAGAGAAGTCTGGAGAAAGATGAGCAGCACGAGTTTCCCCTTCTTTGTGAGGAAACAAGCTCTGAGGGATTCCTACAGATTCTGAGGTGGCTGTTTGCAGCAAATTCACAAACAGCTGTTAATAGCATCAAACTAAGTAAAACACTTGACTGATGAGAAAGAATACAAAATGGCACCTGTTGGATGTGCTCTCTGCATATATCTTGTACTTACCTACTTGTCCTTTGCACTTGAGCTAGCTATTGTCTCTGAAGTGCTAAAAGAGGCAGAAGTATGACTCAAACACCACATTAACTAAATTCTGGTTGTAGAATCATCACAATTTTCTTGGTGGAAAAGCAGGGAAAACAGTCCCTGTTTTATTTTCAGGTTTCAATCTGAGCCGGTTTAAACTGAGCAAAGGTGATGGTGATATGGGATACCTCTGATGCAGCAGGGATCTAAACATTCCTGAAAGAACACTGACAGACCCCTACAAATGTTGTTAGGGTGAAATACAAGCTGATTTTGTGTCTACTGAGCTGCTATTACTAGTGGCCTTTGCAATGTCATTTCCATGCAAGTAGGTAGGAAATAAGTCTGCTCATATGTGAGTTACATTCAGTAGATGAGACTGCTCTGAGAACAGCAACTGGTAAATTCTGGGGTGGGGAACTGAACAAATCCTATAATCTTAGGAAATAAATAAAAACATGTCTCTCTCTTCTTTGCAAGTTGTACCCCTTTTTAATCAGCTGACTGTCAATGCATATTCTTTAATTACATTATTTGTTGCGGCTATTTTTCAAAACTGTGCAGCTCCTTTGGAGAAATGCACTGCTTTTACTTAGTAGCTATTCCTCTACCCTGCTGTGATGCTTTTATCATAACACTTGTCATATGCTGGCAACCACAATCTTGTGCTCCTAAGAATGGCCCCATAGAAAGGCTAAGATGAATCTACAGGTGGCTCCTTAAATTTATTCCTTTCCTCTCTTGCTATTGTTAGTAAAGTATTAAGCTGGTTTGGGGGTTTTTTTGATGCTTCCTTCTTGAATCCCGTTGGAAAGGATGAAGACACAGGGTAGGAGAAAGCTTTGCAGGATGACAGCTTTTTAACACTGAATAATCTACTGCTGTGCATGCTAATAGATGGTGCTAGGTTTGATTAACTAATTTGGCAAATGAATATCTAAGTAAATTACTTTTGCAGACTGTTTCCAATGATTCTTTCTCTTTAATCTCTTTGAATAGCTTCATACTGATTGTTGCTGCTGATGATAAGAATTCATATAAAACCCTTGGGTATATATTTCATAGTAAATATATCTGGTATCATCTTACACCAGAAAACCCTTCCCCTCACACGCATCTTATTTAAAGGTACATAGTCATGTTTTCAAGGTAATTTTTTTTCAGAAGTTTCAAAGTCATATAGGATTGTAATTTCCATTCGTGCACAGTTCATGGCTGGTTTTAAAAGACGCTCAGGTACTTATGTAGCTGGGTATGCCTGTAAAGGATTTTCAAAGATTACAAAGACAGACAGACATATTTTAATTGCAAAAAACCACCTGATTGGCCCAAGATGTCTTTGAAAAATCCTACATGCCTACATTTCTATGGAGATCTGATCCTTCTGCAAAGCTAATACAATTTTGGGACTAAAAATTTATAATACTTTTTCTCTCCTCTTTTTCTTTTTTAGTTGAAAATGAAATATTTTGCTTTAAACCAAAATATCACGTGATGTACTTATGCAAATACTTCTACACCCACATTCCACATAATCAGAAAATCCATCATTCTTTCTCAAGAAGTCATGGTCTTAACCTATACTCTGTACTTATTTCATTATCTATAGATCACTACTACATATTTGTATTTTCAGTAATTTAACATTTCTCAGATGCTTGACTTTAAACGATAAACCATCCACAGACCATGTTCCCTTGCCTCAGCTGAATAAACCTGTGTTTGGACAGCCTAACTTATCACATTTGCTGTCAAACCACTACAGTGCTGCTAATGCTCAATACATCAGCTATCGTATTATCCTCACTCTGAAATCGTACATGAGCTTTTCCATGTATTCCTTAATCACATTAATTTCCAAGTCTTCACCCTAAGTACTTTACAACATTTCCCTCAAATACAATGTTTCGTCTCCTTTGTTACTTCTCAATCCTTTTGCCTCTAACTTCTCTCACTTCTTTAATCACTTAGCACTTTCTGCTCTCTTGCCCCAACAGAAGCTCCATATTTGTCTGCCAATGAGGTGTTCACTCATCTTTCTTCCTTTACACTCCTCCTTAAAACCCATCTTCTTGCCTTCTAGCATATAATTATCTGACAGTAATTTATCAGGAGTGGGCAGAGGCTACACAGGTGTCCCCTCCACCCACTCACACATGCAAAGTCAAGTAATTACTTCTGAAGGCCCACAGACATTTTTAAACAACAGCCAGCGACCTCTGCTTCCTCCCATACCACTCTGCAGAATAGGGCACTGTGGATGGGGGTGGGCAGGAGAGGAAGACCATGCCAGCTGTACTGCCTCCAAGTAGGAGAAACTGGAAATACACATTTCAGCTCCACTTACCGGTTCCTATTGCTAGAAATCCAATCCGAGATTAAGGTTGCAGCCTGCTGGTGACAGTGTTTGTTACCAAAGCTGCAGGCCAACATGATCACTTCCCGACGCAACTCTCTGTCCAAATTAAAGAAAGCAATAAGGCTGCATTAATGAACATGCTTGAACGTTTACAAAAAATCTATTTCTTTTAACAGTGGCAGCAACTGATAGTTAGGCAACATATGAACGATAATCCAGCTATACAAATCTCAGTGTCAATCTAATGCCTTCAGCTGATGCAACAACTAAACAAAGGTCATGGACCAAAACCAGCCCCCATTTACACCTATTCACTCTTCCTGACCTCTGTGGTCACATAAGTCCAAGTTCTTAAACATCCAGTGCAGGATATTAAATTAAGGTTTAGGAAATCATGTTCTCTAAACTCAGGAAAGGAATTAATCTCACAGCATCTTGCAGCTCTCCCTCTAACCCAGAAAGGCAAAACAGAAGGCCAACAAAGCTAAGGAACTATGACATGCTGAAGATGACACCAAATTTTAGGAGTGCATTACTACAACTATATTCCACAAACGAGCAATAAAAAAATAAATATAACAGTACTCATGTTGGTATGATGCTTGAACAAGCGATTTGTTTAAATTATTCATTGGCCATCCAAGCTTGAGATACATTGATGCAACTTGTCTTAAAATATACTCCTGAGGGGGAAAAGAAAAATATATTTAATGTTAACATTTATTTTTTATTTGAAATTGAAATACTACTGATCATTGAGGTTTTGTCTCTTTTTATCATCAAATAATGTCTGACTTTCCCAAGGTTTTGATTTGCATTTAGCAAAGCAACATGTCAACCTATAATCCTCCTTCACTGCTATAGTGAGAAGTAACCTGTAGAACAGCTATTTGATCAGATGCCTAAGTTTCTTAGTGCTATTTTGAACTCATAATACATGGCTGAAAAGTTGCTAGAGCATCAACAGCTTAATTTCTACTCTATGGCCAATCTTGACTACACTGTACATGTTCACTTTTTAAAGAATATTATTTTAATATCCATAGCCACGGCAAAAATGTTATGTAAGTATAGTCAATTGACTTCAGAATACAGAACAATGTGGCTGCAAATAAGCTTTGTACACTTAATGACACTATGCTTCAAGTTCAGGTTCTTGGTGTGCTTAAAGAACAAAACAAGATCAAGATCTACTTTAGTTACTTCTACTTTTTACACAGGTGGCATATTTATATATTCGGACCAGTTGTGAAGAAAAACACTGTCACTGTATTCAGCATAATCTTTTGCCAGTGGAATTCATCAATTTGAAAAAGAGAACTGAGACATAAAGAACCGTATAGGAGAGTGTCTATTTTATTATTGCAGATGCATGGGCATGTGTATACAATGGAGATTCATAGTGCCGCTTTCTCTAGCAGATATGTTATTGTGACTAAAAAGACTTTTTATTTCCTCTGCTATCACCTCTTCTTTCAAAGCTCTCATCAGTAGTGACAAAACACAATCCAATCATGAATTTTACTGGTTTTATTTATTAAAATTGTTTTCTTTACACAGCCATGTTTAAAAGTGAAATAGCAATGGCAGACTCATAAGAATTCTTCTGTGCAGTTAACAACAGACTAAACATGCAAATGATTTCAACATCATTTTATATTATGGCTCTGGTTTGCATGTTGGCCTACACTGTAGGTTCAAAAGAATTTCAATGTGTCTTTATTAATCTGTAATATATGTTCCACAAAAATATTTTTCCATGGCAGCAGGTAGCTCTGTGTATGTATGTATATATACCTATCTATGTATGTATGTACTTCACACATACATCCAGCCACCTCTAGCCTCCTGCTCTCTGAGCATGTGTGTCTGTGAACACAGAAACACAAGCAAATTTTCCAACCTGAACGATTCTGTGATTCTATGAAATATGTTTAAGAAGAAAAAAGCACCTTTAAGCATTTCAGGCTTTAGAGCATTCCTTCATTTGAAGGCTTTACAAAATTACATAAAATTACAGTATGTTGGCCACTGAAAATATGTAGACTACATAAAATTCACAGTGAATAAAAAAAAACCCAAGAGTTCATCATTGTCACTGGCTGCAATCAGATCCTGTGTACTTCATAAAACACGCTTCGGTGTAGCTACAATTTTTTAATTTTTTTTTAATTTCAGGTAAAATGTTAAAATGTTTGTCATGTCTGTCTTAATTATCTACTGCTAGGTGTAACTGCTGTCCCTTTGGACCCAATTATGAATGGTCTTTTGATAGAATGGTGATCTAATCCTTGTTAATTAAGGTAACTGTATTGAATTCACCATGGCTTTTTGGATGAAATAACGACTACAAATCTTTACTTCAGTTGCATGTGTCCTGTTCAGTTGTGCCTGCATTTGGTGTCCTTGCGGAGCTTGGGCATCAATCTAAATATCGCCGCGGGGCTCCTCAGAAGAGAAAATCTGGAAATAGATTGCTTTGGCTCTTTTAAGTGAAATACTTCATTTGTCATAATATTTTATAGGGGAGATAATTACCTTTCCTTCTACTAATCATATATGCCTCAAACAACAGTTATCACTGTTCAAATGCAAATGAGCCAAAGCTTGACAATTGCTATGTTTAAATAAAGAATAATTAGGAAGAAAGCTAATATCCCTAGGTCATTTACAGTATGTGACTGGGGAATAGTTCTGGGGAGGAAGGGAGGAAGGGGAAGGAGAGCGAGAGGAAGAGAGGAAGAAAGACAGGAAGACTGTATCTCTTACATTGAAGATATTGTAATTTTCTGTGCGGTCCAGCAACTTATCTAGAGGATAAAGAGCTCGGCTGGCAGCATGCCACGGCAGAAAATCCTTCTCCTCTGAAAGGTATCTGATAATCTCCAAAGGAATATTCTGAGGCAAATAACCAGCTCTGCACAATAAAAGAAGTTAGTATTAAATTGCTTTTGCAGAAGATACATGATGAGGCAAAAATTCTTCTTTTCTTCCAAATGAAATTAAAAGGCAGAAAAACATGACAAACTCATCACTATAATGACATAAAAGTCAACCTTATAAAAACCAGCAACTCACAGTCTCTCCCACTGCATGTGCAAGCATAGTTACTGGATGAAGGAAGGCATGAACACATACGAAGGAAAACCAGACAAGCTACCCCTACTTTACATGGATTCCTGTGGCTATAAAAGATATGAACAATGGAGTAACTGACTTTAAGCAAAAAAACCCAAAACGATGGTGTACCTTTGCTCATTTCTAAGATAGAAACATGTCTGCATAAAATCAACAACCCAAGGCATTTTGCTTCAGAGAACATTAAAAGGCCATGGGCAACTGGGAAGAACTAGTAGTGAAAAAGCATCTTTAGTTTCAGTTATTCTCCCCACTCTTTTCGCTCTCCTTTAGAGCTGCCTTGTCTTCTATGTACCTTAAGCCACTTTGGAATGAATTATTTTATTAAACTGAAGTGGCATCCAGTGACATCACTTTGGTTAAGGATGTTCCAGCACTTTTCACACAAACTATGTGTTTTTCAGGTGTTTATAAATCAATCAGCTAG